AGATCCCACTGATCAGAGTATGGATTGTTGGATTGTCTGTTGTGCCTGTTTGAAGATACTGAAAAGCTGCATGTATTTCTGTTCATTTATAGATTTATAAGATTCAGTGGAGTCGATTCAGTTTTATTAAAATGGCTTGTTCTAAACAACAAGTGATGAGTGGAGCTGTGAGGAACTGAAATGATGCTCAGTAGTTCTTAGTGAGTTGTTTTGAACAGTGGACAAAGTGTTATATGTGTGAAAATACGATTCCGCCTGTACATGTTACACACCTGATGACAAGATTTATTTATCCAGCTGCTGAAACTAAATACCAGAATATAATTATTTGGTGGCCTGTTGTTGTTTCTTCTTGTTCCCTACCACGGTACAAACAAAAGCAGCCTGGTGAATTTGTATCGCTTGACTCTTGATTCTCTCTAAAATGACCTGTGCGTAGTCTTTTCCTGCTTTTTTACTCAAGCTCCAGCCTCACTGGGACTCTAAATAGACGTACAGGTGAAGCAGGTACACAGGATGAACAGTGGACGAATGTAAAGATGGAGTTTTGTTGCCAGAAAGATTAACAATCAAAGTGTTGTAGATGGACTATAAATAAACTGTTCATTCCTTTTGAAGAATGTGTGTCTAAATGTTGAATGTGTTACTATCAAAGCTGTTCATATTGTCTGTTTTTTTTTTTTTTTGTCCATAACTGTCCACAGAAACAACACAATCAAATTACTCATCAAACAGAAAACAAGTTTATATTGAAAAGGAGAAAAAGAAAACTTCCCCTCACAACAACTCATTATGAGATTCTCAACGAAGCCTTACTGTCGCAACGATAAAACAGAAGTGAAATAATATTTACTTCTGTGTGAAGTTTTAAGCTGAAGCGCTGCACACGCTTACGCTTCACTTTCAGCCTTTTTTGTTCTTTGTTCAGGATGAACAGAAAAACACAGACGATGAACGCCAACCCGAACGTTTCTTTCTCCGTCGGTAAGACACTTTCTGATCATTTGAAACTTCATAAGCTTTTCATCTTTTTCTATATCACTATCTTCTTTGAATAGTTTTTCTTTTACAATGCTGATACATGCATGAGTGATGCTGTTGTTGCATAAAAACAAATTGACAGGAGACATATCTGAAAATGTCAAAGTGAATTCTTTTGCTTCATTTTATAATTTGCATCATGATTTTCCCCACTGTGCTGCTAGTTTACTGTAGATATCCAAGCATTTGTGTTTGTTCTGTTTTATTTTAGAGACACTTGAGGAAAGCATCTATGAAAATGACGCAGTCTGCACTACGGGCAGAATGCCAGACACCTCAGGTACGCAACCCACGGTACATCACAAGAATTGACTGTTTAGCATGATTTTCATCATATTTAAGCCTTTTGTGTCTCATCTGCACTGTTTCAGAGGACAAAAACTATGAAAATGTAGCAGTAGATACTGCAGATAAAATACCAGCCCCCTTTGGTATGTTATTAAATAATTCACTTGGCATTTTATAGAATAACACATTTAACTCTCAGTACAGGATTTTAGAGGATTTCTTATTTTTCTGTTAGATAAGAAGTTTCCTTCCTTCACTCGGCCTTTTGTAACAATAGCATTGAGTTGGCTGGTGCTGTTGGCAATTGTGGCCCTTCGTATCTACTGTGAGTATAAACTTTGTGTCAGCTGTAGTGTACCTGCATGGCTCCTTTATGCTCTGCTGAAATAAGCACAATCAAAAATATATTTTATTGGACATTAGTTTAAACTAAAGCTGTTTTGAATACTTGTCTTAAAGTGAAAGCTCACCATCCACAATATTCTTATATGTGTGAATATAGTTACCTCTGTGATTTCTGAGAAAAACACCAAGCTGACTGCAGAAAACCAAAACTTGACGACACAAACTCAGCAGCTGAGAATACAAAACCAGAAGCTGGAGACACAAAACCAGCAGCTGGAGACACAAAACCAGAAGCTGGAGACACAAAACCAGAAGCTTGAGACACAAAACCAGCAGCTGGAGACACAAAACCAAAAATTGGAGACTGAGAACAAAAACTTAACAGAACAAATGCAAAACATGGACAGAGAGTGCAACGTCACTAAAGCTCAGTGGAGCGTTGATATCTACTACCCTCCAACAAGCAGTGGTATGTTCAGATCCCATCAGCTACAAAATAACTTGTAATGATATAGCAACGCAGTAATTTATTCAGTACTTTGTGTGTATTATTTCAGAAAAAGAGTGTTTCGCCTGTCACATGGGTTGGAAAGATGTTCCATCCATCTGCTATACAATCACTTACTCTGGAACAAGTGACTATCTGAGAACCTGGGAGAAGAAGTGCTGGATCTGCAAGAAAAAGGATTTGTCTGTTTAAACACTTCAGAGGTTTACTGGATAGAGGTTTCACAGGATTGGATTTTCTAAACTAAAAATTCAGAGAGATTTTAGCTTTAACAGAAAAAAAGCATTTATTTTTTCCATATTATTTTGTGTATGTGTTTTGTGTGTATGAACAAAAGACATTGCAATCTGATATTAGATCATATATTTGTAGAAAAAAATCGGCAACTGGCCGAAAGATTCATTCAATTGTTTTTCCTTTGGAATAATTTAGTAAGAAATGTGCATTTTTGTTTTGCTTTGTAACAGATGTAGTGCTTTCAGTTTCAATAAAGCAGACTGATGAAACGAGCCAACGAAGCTGATCAGTCTTGGTGGCTCATTTCCTTCTGCTTGGCCAACAGAGGGTGCTGCATGACTGCTCAACAAAATGAATTTTGAATGTCTATTCATGAGGATGTTATGTTGCTTTGTGATGGTATTGACCATCATCGCAAAAACAGTCACAGATGATTCAATGACATCTGACGTGCGGAAATAGCGAGCTGTTTGTGTTGAATAGGGTAATTTTTTGTTTCTCACATGAAACTAAGACAATATGGGTTCATTAATTAAGTTATAATAAAATTTACTGTGTGTCAAAGAAAGGTGAACTGCAGCCGCTTGACAAGATGCTACAGAAGCACAATGTCCAATATAAAGATTATTCAAGAATATTTTGTCTCAGAGCAACTTTATACCCAAGGACATTGTGCTACAGCAACAGAGCTACAAACACATTATTCTGAGTGAAGTTTAACACTGATACGTTAGTCTGCACATCTACATTTCTCAAATTTTTCTTTCTCTGCAGGTAGGACACTTTCTGAAACTTCACAAGCTTTTCACCTTTTTTGTGTCAGTGTCTTATTTTGTTAATTTTTATGAATTTGTTACAATGCTGATGCTTGCATGAGTGATGCTTTTGTTGCATGACAACACATTGGCAGGAGACATGTTTAAAAATATCAAAATTAATCATTACTTCATTCTGTAATTAGCATTGTGATTTTTGACAGTCACTGAAAAAGACTGTCAAATTGAAAAAAAACAATGCTGTTTCTTTATTTGCAGGTAATGCTTTCAGATTGATTCAAACTTTACATGCTCCGTGTCTTTTCATCTGTATATGTCAATCTGTAAATATCTATATGTATATAAAGCATGCTTAAGTAAATACATTTTACATGTACTATAAATATATATAGACACAATAAGTTACTCTTGTCGTTGTTCTGTAAAACTGTATAGTTATTCTGTTAAAACGTTTTTTGGTTTGATTTTTTTTTTTTTAAGTTACTAGGCGAAAAATTTGTTGTAAATTATGAATACGAAAAAGAAGATACGAGTTGTTTCTGACTGCACGTGAACGCAACACAGTAAAGCGGAGCCTGAGTCCTCTACTGCGACTGCGCGAACAGTATCTCCCGGAAACGATGTGGTTGTTTTGGTGTCCGCTTGTGTTGTAGTCATTTGTCAAAGGGTAAAGCCAAACTTTTAACTAGCCAGTTTTGGACCCCGGAGCAAGGGCGCTTCTCAGGATTGTCTTCAATATGCTTTGTCCGAGGTGATGGAATGAACTGCGTTGAGAGTGAAAGACAGACATTTTGTTAATTTTGCCAATTACGGTTGCTAGCGCTTAGCTAGCCTGTTCGCTGGCTAACTGGGAGCTCGTCACTCTGTCAACAAGTTTTGTTCAGCATGGACTGCACGGCGCTGGAGCTCGATGGCGTCAAATTTGCTAAAACAGCTGTTACCTATGACCAGAATGGCAAATATAACGAGGCTGTGTTTTATTATAAGGTGGGTGGCCATACATTTACATTTGACAAGTGTAAACAGCTGCTACCTGTCAAAGTTAGCATTTAGCTAATCTTACATAGAAGTTAAAATTTTGCTTTCACTTCCATTATGGACTCATGACTACATCAAAGAATGTGCTAAGGAATATCTGAAGGTGTCATGAATTGCCAGTACTTAACGGCTACATGTCATTTTTTATAACTGCTGCTTCTTTCATGATGTCTTGCCATAGGAGGCAGCCCAGGCTCTGATATATGCTGGGATGGCAGGGTCCAAACTGGAGGGAATCCAGGACAAAGTGAATGAATACCTGGATCGAGTCCAAGCTCTCCACAATGCTGGTATGTTCACCTGACAAGAGAGACAGTGGATCTGATTTTATAGCTTCAACTGAACCTCTTTGTATGAATTACAAATGAAGTAACAGAAGAGTTTTAAAGGAACATGAAACCTGTTCAGCTTTCTTGTAGTTTTTCTGTATTTTGCTTTTTGCTACCTTAACTGTCTGGAAACACTGTTTTGCTGTTTGCCAAAGGAAAGACTAATATAGTTTGTTGTATTTTGACAGTTTCAGCTCAGTGATGCACACTGGCATGTTTTCACACTGTAAAACTTGGTGGCATTATAGCTTCATACCTTTATAGAGACAGTAAATGCCAAATCTAACAGAGGGCCACTGTCCAAAGATGTTTATGTTGAGCTTTCATTTAGTCTTTTAAATGTTGATTTTATTAGTCATACACAAATACAGTGACACTAAGTATTGGCTTTTATACAGCTGAATTGTTAAGGCAATGAAGTGTTAGTTCAGGTTAAAAAACGGTTCAGGATTATTCCTGAATGGGCCCTTAGGACATACTTTCTCACTTGCTGCCTGACTGCTTTTTTCCGTGACTTGCCTCTCGCTATGGGTGTGTGTCTGTGTGTGAGTTCACATGGGTGTAACTACAGACTATGGGAGTGTCCCTTTTTTATTGAACCACCAGTAGGTGACGTTTAATGCTGTGTGCTGCTGTTCCATGTTCCTGCTGTTTCCTGTGAGTTAAAAAGAAAGCTTTGTTTGCGTTATTTATTTATTATTATTTTTTTGTCCAAAGCTTTTCATTTTGCCCCAAATATCCAAATCTTTCCTAAGATATGCTGCATCCTGGAAATAAACACCAACAGCCTAGAACCAGTTTCAACAAAACTAAACACTATAACCTTCATGAAGGCTTTGCTGTTGTATTCGTCTGCATCAGTTTTAGCTTGGTGAACCTGCTGAACTGAAGTGAGTGCTACTTCAGCACTGGTCAAATGATTACAATTTTGGAATATTTTAACCAAAGGTGGTTTAATGATTGTGATGCAACAAAGCTGTAAAAACACATTTTCCTGTTTTATGTTGTTAGTGGAAGTGGCTAGTGGAATTATTACAGTAATATTTAGCCATTCATTTGCCAAAGAGCTCCTCTTCAAGATGATTGCAGTCATGTGTCCTAACCATACCTTCCCTTGACCTTTATCCACAGTCCAGGCACAGAAGAGCGACCCGCTGAAGTCCCGGCATCAGGTGGATCTGGAGCGCGCCCACTTCCTCGTTACACAGGCCTTCGAGGAAGACGAGAAGGGGAATGATGATGAGGCTATTGAGCTGTACACCCAAGCTGTGGAGCTCTGCATTAAGACAGTAGGTGTCTCACTCTGCCTCTCTCTCTCTGTTTGTCATCACTCAGTCACAGTGACTAACTTTCATTTGGTTTTCTCTCGTCCCTGCTTGCTTCCACATCTGTTTCTCTTTTCTGTTTTTACAACAGTCCAATGAGACATCAGACCAGGCGCTGCAGAACAAGCTGAAGCAGCTAGCGCGTCAAGCTTTAGACAGGTAAATATGAAAACTGGTGCTGACTTTTTGTTGTACGTCAGAATGTTCACCAAAGAGGCTGCTTTGTGTTTTAGCTGTGCCAGTGCTCCAACTTTTTCTAGCTGGTGATCAGAAGCATTTCAGAGGCAAGATGTCTTTTAGCCAAAGCTTTAATTTAGCTTTTTGATTGTTTGTTTGTTTAGTTTTGCATAGTTTTGGTCTTTTGTTATTTCTCTTGCTGTTCATTTCACTTACTTGATTTGTAAATTTTATGTTCTAAGCTACAAATTTAACCTGAAGGAGAAACCTTGCTTAAAATAAAGTTTCAACATCCACCTATAGGAGTAAATCATAATACAGATTATTATTTTGTGTACGTCTATGTGACCAAATGACCTGTAATATAAATAAAGCAGAAATGCTAGTCTGGATATATGTAGGATTTAAAAAAAAAAAAAAAAAAGTCTTTATGGTGGCAGGAGTTAAACAGATATATTAGGATGCATGGCAATGTAAACTGATCAACATTAAAACTGCTGACAGGTGAAGTCATTAATGTTGATTTTGATCATACAACGGCACCTGCCAAGAGGTGGAAATATTTGGTGGCAAGTGAACAGTCAGTTATCGACGTCAGTGTGTTGGACACTGGAAAATAGGCACGATAAAGATCTGAACAAGTCTGACGAGTCTTACATTTACCTGCATAGAGTAGTTTAAAAGAGAAAGCAAATTGTTATAAATGGTTGTGCCAGTTTTCCAAATGTTTCTTTTTCCTTTTGTCTGAATGATCTGACTTGGTTTTGCCGAGTTAATTAAAAAACTTCACTATGTTCTGTAAGGGCGGAGGGTCTTAAAGAATCCCAGGCCAAATCAACTCCAGGCCAGACAGGGCCTTCCGGTACCAAGCCCGGCAGTGGTGCCAATTCTGGGGGACCAGTCCGCCAGTTTTTCCCCCTTGGGCCTGACTTCAGCCTCCACGACCGACCGCAGCCGCAGCCTGTCCGGGCAGTCCAGTCCAGCGAACCCCACGGTCAGCGCTACACGTCTGAGGAGATCGAGGTGCTCAGGTGAGATGAACTTCTGCACATCTTGGCAGACTTTTTAATAAAACTTTGTAGTCCCCTACAACTCCTAGAAAAACACAATCTTGAAAGGCTAAATGCAGTTTGTTATAAATTCTCAAACTGAGTTGAAATCATATGTATGGGTACCAAAGATTTCCCAGAAAACTGTGAGAAATATTTTTACTTTAGTGTCGCGTCTGCACGGTGTAACTGCTGCTACACTCACACAAACAAAAATCACATGTTTTCAAGCTGCTGTGTTCCACTGAACTTGTTCCTATTCTCAGGAGTACATCAACCATCAATGGCATAGCCTATGTGCCCTTCATGAGTGTGGACCTGAAGGAGCGATTTGCCTTTCCTGTACCTTTCTCGTGAGTTTGCATTATATGTATATATTTTCTGTTTGTTTTGTTTTATTGATCAGTGTTCGAACAGATCAGCTCAGTAAAATACAGACTAAAATATAAAGCCCTCAAACTAGTGGGAGTCTTGCCAGTGCAGGAAAATGGAGGTCACACAGGATGTATGGTTGCATACACGGGCATTGTCTCATCAACCACCTTATGACTGCTGACGATTTGGTGATTTTCTGTCAGTAAAATGCTGCATTCCAGCAGTTTCTGAGCGTTAGTTTATAGTAAGGTATGGATTTTTACATCAAGTATAATTTAAGTAAGAATAACACTCTGATTGTTTGAAGTAAAGAAGACAAAAGAAATGGCTTCTCCTGTTTTCTTCCTTTCTGCTACTTTCCTTAAGGTGTGTACTAAGGTCAAATATTTACACCGTTACATAATCAGTGATATTTCAAGTATTTATAGACCGTGTTGGAAATTACATGCACAAACAAATACCTTGGACCTTAACTTTAGCTCATGCACAGTGACTGTCAAACCTTTCTTTTTAAAGATTTCCATACACCTCTGTGTACTGCTGGGACAGAGAAGCTACCTTACACAGACTCATAATGGCTTACAATGACAGTATGAGGCTGCTAAGAGCTCCCGGAAGCCTCAGTTCGAGCAGTGCTATAATATGACATTTCATATAAAAATGAATGTGAAGGTTGCACTAAATCTGTATAAAGCATAATCTTGACATGACCCAACCCTGAACTGAGGTCAGTCAGGCTTAAGTAAGAGTAAAGGGTGTGGTCTTCATGTGAATGCCTGAAGATTAAATGTACTTCTGCTCTTCTTTCTTTTGCTATTTATTATTCTGTGGGACCCCCCCAATGAGCTGTGTCCTCATAATGGGGGGAAAAATGTCAGTGTTTTTAAAAGGAGGTGTCTGGTATAGTTGACACTCCTGTACGTCTGGGTCCAGCAGGAACATGCCTCACATGTGTAATATATGTATTCTGCATGTTGGATAAAAACACTTTTTGAGTAGGCTTAATGAGAGGAACACAGGGTAAAATGTTGTTGTTTTTACAGAGTCATTTATTTGATTTAATCTGCCTTTCCTGTCTTTATGCTCATAGAGAAATATGGAGCCTCGTCATGCTCACAATAGAAATTGAATTTGTCTACATATAATGGTGTTTTAATAGCTGATAATCCTTCAGTAGGCATGTAGGGGGACAAAGGTTCTGTGGTGACGCATGTCTTTTAGAGTCATATTAAGCTATTTTTGTAGAAATGGCCGTTCATCCCGGGGCTCCAGAAATGCGTCACCTACCCTATGGCTTTGTTTGAAGTCTATAAGTGGTTTTAGAGGTTTTGCAAGTACAACAAACACTTGCATGTCAGCACAGAACATTAAACATCCAGAGCTGTGGCCCAATAGCATCAGCAATTGCAGACCAAAACGTACTGTAGCTGAAGTTTGGTGTCTGTTGATCTGAACGTATTAGCTTGACACAGATTCTAACTCTTTGTTGGTGTGGGGGTTTTTTTGTTTGTTTTTTTTCAGGGACAAAACTGGAAAACTGGCATTGTCCCCCAAGCAGAAAGCCATCTTCTCCCGCTGGGTTCGGCCAGACGAGATCTGCAATAACCCCACGATGATCATGTCTGTGTCCAGCTTCAGCATCAAACAGGTCAGACGAGCAGCTGGACTCAGTTTTCCAACCTTCTTTAATTCTTCAGTCTGTCTGTGGCAGGCTTTGCTTGTAAGCTTTTGCACATTTGAGTGTGAAATAAGAAATATTTCTCTCGCGTACTTATAATTTCCTTCTCTGGAACTTTTTATATAGAAGCCCAAGAGTTCTATGTTATGTGTTTTTGCGAGCGGGAGTGCTGATTTGTCATATTTCGTGTTCATGTTAAAATCCGTCCAGTAGGTGGCGCCGCAACATGACAGATAGGCAACTTTGTGTTAGAGCATTTAAAATACCCTCTGACAAGAATAAAGAGCATAAACAAATATTCAGTAGTAAAATTCTAAACACAGTTAAATATGATTAAAGCTGTTGAGTGTGGGGTTTTCTGTTTTTGTGCATCTAAAGTGGAGGAATGCTTCTGGAGTATCTTTGCACAACAGCGTCCCTTTTATTAGTTTGTACTGTCTATACTGTGTCTTAACCCATTAACCTTGTTTGTTCATATGCCGTCATTCCCTGTTTTCCAGACGGTGGTGTCTGACTGTTCGTTTGTGGCGTCACTTGCCATCAGTGCGGCCTATGAGAGGCGCTACAACAAAAAACTCATCACCAGGTACTGCATGTAGCTCCCACAGGCATTTTCTCTTCGAGTGCCAGTATTTTGTGCCCGTTTGTGCTTTACATTTGATGCCTTTGTCCAACTATTACTGCAAATGCCTCTGAAGCAAACTGAATTTACATAATCACAAAACAGTCGTAAATATTGGCGTGAGATCGGATTTTGCAGATGACGAGAACACAGCTGTACATTGACAAAAACGACACGGAGCACCTGATGTACAACTTCGATAAAAAGCCAAAGTGATCCATCAAAGTCACGCTGTATACCTGCTGTGCATTGCGATTTCTAACCATTATACATAAAGACAAATGTAAGCTCATGTACAGAGGAAAAAAAACAAACTGATTCAACCCCGAGTTTTTGAATGTGTGTGTGTTTGTGTGTTACAGCATAATCTATCCTCAGAACAGACGAGGGGAACCGGAGTATAACCCCTGTGGGAAGTACATGGTCAAGCTTCACATCAACGGAGTTCCCAGGAAGGTAAAAGGCAAATTACCACAGCTAGTTCATCCGTTCTGATAAGACACTAAGAGATTAGAGCTGGACACACAGAGCAATATAGCAGCTTATCAGTGTGCACTCTGCGCACAGAGAGGATACTAGCAGGGATCTAGTCTGCATTGCATGTGTAAAGAAATGATAACAAGGAAAAATGATTTCTGTAGCTGTCTGAATAATTTGAATCCAATTGTGAGGATGGGCTTGAATGTGCAAACGGATAAATTCAGAAGTGTGTATTTTCTTGTAGCTAAATTCAAAATGCAAAGTATAAGATGCTTTTTTTCTCTGGTTGAATGCATTGTTCATTTATTTATTATTGAATTTAATGTGAAATCCATTGGAAAATTAAAAGATGTGATATTTTTTAATATATTCTCCTCGTAGTCTTTTAAAAGCAGAAATTATAATGTGGTGACCTGATACTGTAATGTCTCATATTTATCTAGTAAAAGGCAGAATAGACATTTATACCAAACTGACAGAGTCAACAAACAAACCAGCTAAGTTCAAATAAGGATTTTTAAAATATCACCCAAATTCATCTGTACTATTACCAACAACGTGTCTCTGTCCCTGTTGCAGGTGATCATAGATGACTACCTGCCGGTGGATCGTAACGGAGAGCTGCTGTGCTCTTACTCCAGCAACAGGAACGAGCTCTGGGTCTCCCTGATAGAGAAGGCCTACATGAAGGTGATGGGAGGCTACGACTTTCCTGGCTCCAACTCGGTGAGTAAAAGTGGAGAAACTGGGAGATGGAACTATTTTTAAGTTAGTTATTTCACCTGCTACAGGAAAACTATTCAAAATCTGATGTACAAAGACAAATGTAGAGCTGAGATTTTCTTAAAATGGTAGTGAACAAAATGTATGATTTAAGCTTTTAAGTAGTAATTTGAAAGTCATTTTGTGGCTTGACAAGTCTGGAGGATTAATTAAGTGGTGGTGGATGTTGACGACATAGGTCTGCTGTTAAAGGTGTGTCTGTTTGAATCTGTTTTCCTTTTGTTAGGCATGAATGGACCAGTGTTATCACAGAGTAAAGGAGAGAAGAAAGCATTAAGCCTTTAGGATTTAGCATTTAAAAATTAGACTAGCTCTTATCAAGGGCTGCAAGGTGGCTCGGTGGTTAGCACCGTTGCCTCGCAGCAAGAAGGTCGCCGGTTCGCGTCCCGGTGAGGACACTCGGGATCTTTCTGCGTGGAGTCTCCATGTTGGTGGGTTCTCCAACATGGTTCCTCCCACACAGTCCAAGAACATGTTGAGGTTAATTGGTGATTCTAAATTGTCCGTAGGTGTGAATGTGAGTGTGCTTGGTTGTCTGTCTCTAAGTGTAGCCCTGTGATAGACTGGTGACCTATCCAGGTGAACCTGCCATCTCCCTGAGTCTGCTGGGATAGAAGAGGGAGGAAGAT